GTACCTGGTGAAGATATAGAGGGTATGTGGGGTATTCTGGTACCTGATGAAGATACAGAGGGTATGTGGGGTATACGGGTACCTGGTGAAGATACAGAGGGTATGTAGGGTATACGGGTACCTGTGAAGATATAGAGGGTATGTAGGGTATACGGGTACCTGGTGAAGATATAGAGGGTATGTAGGGTATACGGGTACCTGTGAAGATATAGAGGGTATGTAGGGTATACGGGTACCTGGTGAAGATATAGAGGGTATGTAGGGTATACGGGTACCTGGTGAAGATATAGAGGGTATGTGGGGTATTCTGGTACCTGGTGAAGATATAGAGGGTATGTAGGGTATTCTGGTACCTGGTGAAGATATAGAGGGTATGTGGGGTATTCTGGTACCTGGTGAAGATATAGAGGGTATGTAGGGTATTCTGGTACCTGGTGAAGATATAGAGGGTATGTGGGGTATTCTGGTACCTGGTGAAGATATAGAGGGTATGTGGGGTATTCTGGTACCTGATGAAGATACAGAGGGTATGTGGGGTATACGGGTACCTGGTGAAGATATAGAGGGTATGTAGGGTATACGGGTACCTGTGAAGATATAGAGGGTATGTAGGGTATACGGGTACCTGGTGAAGATATAGAGGGTATGTAGGGTATACGGGTACCTGGTGAAGATATAGAGGGTATGTGGGGTATTCTGGAAACTGGTGAAGATATAGAGGGTATGTAGGGTATTCTGGTACCTGGTGAAGATATAGAGGAAACGTGGACTGTACGCGTACATGGTGAAGATATAGAGGGTATGTAGGGTATTCTGGTACCTGGTGAAGATATAGAGGAAACGTGGACTGTACGCGTACATGGTGAAGATATAGAGGGTATGTAGGGTATACGGGTACCTGGTGAAGATACAGAGGGTATGTAGGGTATACGGGTACCTGTGAAGATATAGAGGGTATGTAGGGTATACGGGTACCTGGTGAAGATACAGAGGGTATGTAGGGTATATGGGTACCTGGTGAAGATATAGAGGGTATGTAGGGTATACGGGTACCTGTGAAGATACAGAGGGTATTTGGGGTATACGGGTACCTGGTGAAGATATAGAGGGTATGTAGGGTATACGGGTACCTGGTGAAGATATAGAGGGTATGTAGGGTATACAGGTACCTGGTGAAGATATAGAGGGTATGTAGGGTATACGGGTATCTTGTGAAGATATAGAGGGTGTGTAGGGTATACGGGTATCTTGTGAAGATATAGAGGGTATGTAGGGTATATGGGCACCTAAGATATAGAGGGTATGTAGGGTATATGGGTACCTGGTGAAGATATAGAGGGTATGTAGGGTATACGGGTACCTGGTGAAGATACAGAGGGTATGTAGGGTATACGGGTACCTGGTGAAGATATAGAGGGTATGTAGGGTATACGGGTATCTTGTGAAGATATAGAGGGTATGTAGGGTATATGAGCACCTTGTGAAGATACAGAGGGTATGTAGGGTATACGGGTACATGGTGAAGATATAGAGGGTATGTGGGGTATACGGGTACCTGGTGAAGATACAGAGGGTATTTGGGGTATACGGGTACCTGGTGAAGATATAGAGGGTATGTAGGGTATACGGGTATCTTGTGAAGATATAGAGGGTATGTAGGGTATATGGGCACCTTGTGAAGATACAGAGGGTATGTAGCGTATACGGGTACATGGTGAAGATATAGAGGGTATGTAGGGTATACGGGTACCTGGTGAAGATACAGAGGGTATTTGGGGTATACGGGTACCTGGTGAAGATATAGAGGGTATGTAGGGTATACGGGTACCTGGTGAAGATACAGAGGGTATGTAGGGTATACGGGTACCTGGTGAAGATATGGAGGGTATGTAGGGTATAAGGGTACCTGGTGAAGATACAGAGGGTATGTAGGGTATATGGGTACCTGGTGAAGATATAGAGGGTATGTAGGGTATACGGGTACCTGGTGAAGATACAGAGGGTATGTAGGGTATACGGGTATCTTGTGAAGATATAGAGGGTATGTAGGGTATATGGGCACCTTGTGAAGATACAGAGGGTATGTAGGGTATACGGGTACATGGTGAAGATATAGAGGGTATGTAGGGTATACGGGTACCTGGTGAAGATACAGAGGGTATTTGGGGTATACGGGTACCTGGTGAAGATATAGAGGGTATGTAGGGTATACGGGTATCTTGTGAAGATATAGAGGGTATGTAGGGTATATGGGCACCTTGTGAAGATACAGAGGGTATGTAGGGTATACGGGTACATGGTGAAGATATAGAGGGTATGTAGGGTATACGGGTACCTGGTGAAGATACAGAGGGTATTTGGGGTATACGGGTACCTGATGAAGATATAGAGGGTATGTAGGGTATACGGGTACCTGGTGAAGATACAGAGGGTATGTAGGGTATACGGGTACCTGGTGAAGATATCGAGGGTATGTAGGGTATACGGGTACCTGGTGAAGATACAGAGGGTATGTGGTGTGTACGGGTACCTGGTGAAGGTATCGAGGTTATGTGGTGTATATGGGTACCTGGTGAAGATATAGAGGGTATGTGGGGTATACGGGTACCTAGTGAAGATAAAGAGGATATGTGGACTGTACATGTACATGGTGAAGATATAGAGGGAATGTGGGGTATACGGGTACATTGTGAAGATATAGAGGGTATGTAGGGTATACGCTGGTGAAGGTATAGAGGGTATTTGGAGTATACGGGTATCTGGTGAAGATACAGAGGGTAATGTGGGGTATGCGGGTACCTGGTGAAGATATCGAGGGTATGTAGGGTATATGGGCACCTTGAGAAGATACAGAGGGTATGTAGGGTATAAGGGTACATGGTGAAGATATAGAGGGTATGTAGGGTATACGGGTACCTAGTGAAGATACAGAGGGTATTTGGGGTATACGGGTACCTGGTGAAGATATAGAGGGTATGTAGGGTATACGGGTACCTGGTGAAGATACAGAGGGTATGTAGGGTATACGGGTACCTGGTGAAGATATCGAGGGTATGTAGGGTATACGGGTATCTTGTGAAGATACAGAGGGTATGTGGTGTATACGGGTACCTGGTGAAGGTATCGAGGTTATGTGGTGTATATGGGTACCTGGTGAAGATATAGAGGGTATGTGGGGTATACGGGTACTTAGTGAAGATAAAGAGGATATGTGGACTGTACATGTACATGGTGAAGATATAGAGGGAATGTGGGGTATACGGGTACATTGTGAAGATATAGAGGGTATGTAGGGTATACGCTGGTGAAGGTATAGAGGGTATTTGGAGTATACGGGTATCTGGTGAAGATACAGAGGGTAATGTGGGGTATGCGGGTACCTGGTGAAGATATCGAGGGTATGTGGGGTATACGGGTACCTGGTGAAGATACAGAGGGTATGTAGGGTATAAGGGTACTTGGTGAAGATATCGAGGGTATGTGGGGTATACGGGTACCTGGTGAAGATACAGAGGGTATGTAGGGTATAAGGGTACTTGGTGAAGATATAGAGGGTATGTGGGGTATACGGGTACCTAGTGAAGATATGGAAGATATGTGGATTGTACATGTACATGGTGAAGATATAGAGGGTATGTGGGGTATACGGGTACCTGGTGAAGATACAGAGGGTATGTAGGGTATACGCTGGTGAAGGTATAGAGGGTATTTGGGGTATACGGGTACCTGATGACGATACAGAGGGTATGTAGGGTATACGCTGGTGAAGGTATAGAGGGTATTTGGAGTATACGGGTATCTGGTGAAGATACAGAGGGTAATGTGGGGTATGCGGGTACCTGGTGAAGATATCGAGGGTATGTAGGGTATATGGGCACCTTGAGAAGATACAGAGGGTATGTAGGGTATAAGGGTACATGGTGAAGATATAGAGGGTATGTAGGGTATACGGGTACCTAGTGAAGATACAGAGGGTATTTGGGGTATACGGGTACCTGGTGAAGATATAGAGGGTATGTAGGGTATACGGGTACCTGGTGAAGATACAGAGGGTATGTAGGGTATACGGGTACCTGGTGAAGATATCGAGGGTATGTAGGGTATACGGGTATCTTGTGAAGATACAGAGGGTATGTGGTGTATACGGGTACCTGGTGAAGGTATCGAGGTTATGTGGTGTATATGGGTACCTGGTGAAGATATAGAGGGTATGTGGGGTATACGGGTACTTAGTGAAGATAAAGAGGATATGTGGACTGTACATGTACATGGTGAAGATATAGAGGGAATGTGGGGTATACGGGTACATTGTGAAGATATAGAGGGTATGTAGGGTATACGCTGGTGAAGGTATAGAGGGTATTTGGAGTATACGGGTATCTGGTGAAGATACAGAGGGTAATGTGGGGTATGCGGGTACCTGGTGAAGATATCGAGGGTATGTGGGGTATACGGGTACCTGGTGAAGATACAGAGGGTATGTAGGGTATAAGGGTACTTGGTGAAGAAATCGAGGGTATGTGGGGTATACGGGTACCTGGTGAAGATACAGAGGGTATGTAGGGTATAAGGGTACTTGGTGAAGATATAGAGGGTATGTGGGGTATACGGGTACCTAGTGAAGATATGGAAGATATGTGGATTGTACATGTACATGGTGAAGATATAGAGGGTATGTGGGGTATACGGGTACCTGGTGAAGATACAGAGGGTATGTAGGGTATACGCTGGTGAAGGTATAGAGGGTATTTGGGGTATACGGGTACCTGATGACGATACAGAGGGTATGTGGGGTATACGGGTATCTGGTGAAGATACATAGGGTATTTAGGGTATAAGGGTACATGGTGAAGATATCGAGGGTATGTGGTGTATACGAGTACCTGGTGAAGATATAGAGGGTATGTGGACTGTACATGTACATGGTGAAGATATAGAGTGTATGTAGGGTACACGGGTACATTGTAAAGATATAGACGGTATGTGGGGTATACGGGTACCTGGTGAAGATATAGACGGCGTCTCCCGTGTGCTGTATCCAATAACTCCTATCCTCTCTCCTCCAACTGTAAATATGTGGCTCTTTTTGAACTTTGTTCTGAGTGGTGAGTCTTGGTTGAGAAGTCGAATGTTTGTACTCAACACAGGGAAGTTAGCCGCGTCCAGAAAGGGGATGAGACCAGACTGCCCTTTGTCAAATTCATGGTTTCCCAAAGCCTGTGAAAGACACGAAATACTTTACAGAAACACAAACCAGAATAACACAGATACAGACGCTCGCCCTTCTCATGGGTTTTATGCTGAATAGAGTATAATTTCACGCCTCTTGCTTTAGAGACTGTTCTGCACATAGATTATATGGTGTGTGCGAGGCGTGTGGATGTGTAAGATTGGTTTTAGTGCCGTGTCAAATTTTGTACCGTTGCATTTGACATATTTTCATGTTCTTTCCAAAAAGATACATGCCTTAAATATGTTGATATGCCCCCACGACGTCGGGGCACGGTGGCATGCTATCAACCAAGTCACCGAGCCTGACCACCCGATCCATTAAGTCGCCTCTGACGACTATCATAAGTTGCTAGGGGTCAGTTCTAACCCAGAATCTCCACGGTGATGCTTGTTGAAGAATTCCGTGGAATTGTTTATACGCCAGAGTTCCAGAGTCCCTTATCGTTAGGCAGAGACCATATACCTCGCTTCATTTCAAAAGTTGGATGAGAATCTGACAACATTTAATATGGCCTCGTGTACGACAACAAAAAATAATAGAACGGGGAAGAAATTTTTTGATAAGACATTATTTTAAATTTTGTATTTAAACCCAAACAAATTTGTTTAATGATATCCTAAATAGTTCTGAATAAATTATTTTTTCTATTTTAAAAAAAATGAGTAAATCATTTGATCAAATTTATCTGTCGTTTAGCAGAGAAAGTGGTCCAAACGTTTCGTCTTTAAGATGTAAATTTCAGGAAACAACACAAGACGATTATCACCTGAAAATATTTTATTTTTATTTTCTAAAATTCAACAAAAATCATAAAGAAACCTTAAAAATATTTTTTTAGATGGCTGCATGCACAGAATACTGGTCAAATGTTAAAATCTCCTTTTAGTTATTTATAACGATGTTTAACCGAGATACATGTACCGTAAGATGTTTCGTAATGAAGTGTAGTTGACAACAAGTTATAATAAAGTGATACTTTCTGATGGACGTCCTTTGCAAAACACCCAAACAAATAACAAAAACATTTATGCAACTACAAAGAAATGTAAGGACTGTTTTGTATTTTAATGGAGTAATTTGTACTGGAAAACGGATAAATAGTGAATTTCTGGCAGGTCGCCATACTCTCTTTGTACGATAGAACAATGGGTTTCCGTGCGTTAAGTAGCAGGAATGTCAGCGAATACATATAGTTACCTATGTGTTATAAATGTTCTTTAACAAAACAAGAAAACTAACACAACTCAACGTTTATCAATATGTAAGGGGCTTGGACAACTGATTAGAGAATTCAAGTAAACCTCTCATGTAAATCATGAAATCTCGCACAGTCTCGCATGAAAGCGCCGCTTGGTCTCGCGTGGCAGTGATCGGTCTCCCTTCAGGCCGTACCTCGGTACCTCTGTGTTAAGCAAGCAAATATTTCGATTGGAATAAATGTATTTTGTCAAAGGTTATGACACTGTATACACTGAGACGGTAACCGCATCTGCGTTGTCTATATATAGTAACCGCTGCCGAGCTTGTACCGATAGGGCGTGACGACCATGTCTGGTCGCAGTGGTGTTTGAAGGACCAAGGATAAAGGTAGAAGTGATGTTTGAGGGACAAAGTATATGTGATGTCAAAAGGGGCAATGTAGAAGTGATGTTTGAGGGACAAAGTATATGTGATGTCAAAAGGGGCAATGTAGAAGTGATGTTTGAGGGACAAAGTATATGTGATGTCAAAAGGGGCAATGTAGAAGTGATGTTTGAGGGACAAAGTATATGTGATGTCAAAAGGGGCAATGTAGAAGTGATGTTTGAGGGACAAAGTATATGTGATGTCAAAAGGGTCAATGTAGAAGTGATGTTTGAGGGACAAAGTATATGTGATGTCAAAAGGGGCAATGTGGAAGTGATGTTTGAGGGACAAAGTATATATGATGTCAAAAGGGGCAATGTAGAAGTGATGTTTGAGGGACAAAGTATATGTGATGTCAAAAGGGGCAATGTAGCAGTGATGTTTGAGGGACAAAGTATATGTGATGTCAAAAGGGGCAATGTGGAAGTGATGTTTGAGGGACAAAGTATATGTGATGTCAAAAGGGGCAATGTAGAAGTGATGTTTGAAGGACAAAGTATATGTGATGTCAAAAGGGGCAATGTAGAAGTGATGTTTGAGGGAAAAAGTATATGTGATGTCAAAAGGGGCAATGTGGAAGTGATGTTTGAGGGACCAAGTATATGTGATGTCAACAGGGGCAATGTAGAAGTGATGTTTGAGGGACAAAGTATATGTGATGTCAAAAGGGGCAATGTAGAAGTGATGTTTGAGGGACAAAGTATATGTGATGTCAAAAGGGGCAATGTGGAAGTGATGTTTGAGGGACAAAGTATATGTGATGTCAAAAGGGGCAATGTAGAAGTGATGTTTGAGGGACACAGTATATGTGATGTCAAAAGGGGCAATGTAGAAGTGATGTTTGAGGGACACAGTATATGTGATGTCAAAAGGGGCAATGTAGAAGTGATGTTTGAGGGACAAAGTATATGTGATGTCAAAAGGGGCAATGTAGAAGTGATGTTTGAGGGACAAAGTATATGTGATGTCAAAAGGGGCAATGTAGAAGTGATGTTTGAGGGACAAAGTATATGTGATGTCAACAGGGGCAATGTAGAAGTGATGTTTGAGGGACAAAGTATATGTGATGTCAAAAGGGGCAATGTAGAAGTGATGTTTGAGGGACAAAGTATATGTGATGTCAAAAGGGGCAATGTAGAAGTGAAGTTTGAGGGACAAAGTATATGTGATGTCAAAAGGGACAATGTAGAAGTGATGTTTGAGGGACAAAGTATATGTGATGTCAAAAGGGGCAATGTAGAAGTGATGTTTGAGGGACAAAGTATATGTGATGTCAAAAGGGGCAATGTAGAAGTGATGTTTGAGGGACAAAGTATATGTGATGTCAACAGGGGCAATGTAGAAGTGATGTTTGAGGGACAAAGTATATGTGATGTCAAAAGGGGCAATGTAGAAGTGATGTTTGAGGGACAAAGTATATGTGATGTCAAAAGGGGCAATGTAGAAGTGAAGTTTGAGGGACAAAGTATATGTGATGTCAAAAGGGACAATGTAGAAGTGATGTTTGAGGGACAAAGTATATGTGATGTCAAAAGGGGCAATGTAGAAGTGATGTTTGAGGGACAAAGTATATGTGATGTCAAAAGGGGCAATGTAGAAGTGATGTTTGAGGGACAAAGTATATGTGATGTCAAAAGGGGCAATGTAGAAGTGATGTTTGAGGGACAAAGTATATGTGATGTCAAAAGGGGCAATGTAGAAGTGATGTTTGAGGGACAAAGTATCTGTGATGTCAACAGGGGCAATGTAGAAGTGATGTTTGAGGGACAAAGTATATGTGATGTCAAAAGGGGCAATGTAGAAGTGATGTTTGAGGGACAAAGTATATGTGATGTCAAAAGGGGCAATGTAGAAGTGATGTTTGAGGGACAAAGTATCTGTGATGTCAACAGGGGCAATGTAGAAGTGATGTTTGAGGGACAAAGTATATGTGATGTCAACAGGGGCAATGTAGAAGTGATGTTTGAGGGACACAGTATATGTGATGTCAACAGGGGCAATGTAGAAGTGATGTTTGAGGGACAAAGTATATGTGATGTCAACAGGGGCAATGTAGAAGTGATGTTTGAGGGACAAAGTATATGTGATGTCAAAAGGGGCAATGTAGAAGTGATGTTTGAGGGACAAAGTATATGTGATGTCAAAAGGGACAATGTAGAAGTGATGTTTGAGGGACAAAGTATCTGTGATGTCAAAAGGGGCAATGTAGAAGTGATGTTTGAGGGACAAAGTATATGTGATGTCAACAGGGGCAATGTAGAAGTGATGTTTGAGGGACAAAGTATATGTGATGTCAAAAGGGGCAATGTAGAAGTGATGTTTGAGGGACAAAGTATATGTGATGTCAAAAGGGGCAATGTAGAAGTGATGTTTAAGGGACAAAGTATATGTGATGTCAAAAGGGGCAATGTAGAAGTGATGTTTGAGGGACAAAGTATATGTGATGTCAAAAGGGGCAATGTAGAAGTGATGTTTGAGGGACAAAGTATATGTGATGTCAAAAGGGGCAATGTAGAAGTGATGTTTGAGGGACAAAGTATATGTGATGTCAAAAGGGGCAATGTAGAAGTGATGTTTGAGGGACAAAGTATATGTGATGTCAAAAGGGACAATGTAGAAGTGATGTTTGAGGGACAAAGTATATGTGATGTCAAAAGGGGCAATGTAGAAGTGATGTTTAAGGGACAAAGTATATGTGATGTCAAAAGGGGCAATGTAGAAGTGATGTTTGAGGGACAAAGTATATTTGATGTCAAAAGGGGCAATGTAGAAGTGATGTTTGAGGGACACAGTATATGTGATGTCAAAAGGGGCAATGTAGAAGTGATGTTTGAGGGACAAAGTATATGTGATGTCAAAAGGGGCAATGTAGAAGTGATGTTTGAGGGACAAAGTATATGTGATGTCAAAAGGGACAATGTAGAAGTGATGTTTTAGGGACAAAGTATATGTGATGTCAAAAGGGGCAATGTAGAAGTGATGTTTGAGGGACAAAGTATATGTGATGTCAAAAGGGGCAATGTAGAAGTGATGTTTGAGGGACAAAGTATATGTGATGTCAAAAGGGGCAATGTAGAAGTGATGTTTGAGGGACAAAGTATATGTGATGTCAAAAGGGACAATGTAGAAGTGATGTTTGAGGGACAAAGTATATGTGATGTCAAAAGGGGCAATGTAGAAGTGATGTTTAAGGGACAAAGTATATGTGATGTCAAAAGGGGCAATGTAGAAGTGATGTTTGAGGGACAAAGTATATGTGATGTCAAAAGGGGCAATGTAGAAGTGATGTTTGAGGGACAAAGTATATGTGATGTCAAAAGGGGCAATGTAGAAGTGATGTTTGAAGGACAAAGTATAT